TCTATACTTTATACATCCTAAGAGTGTTTAGATATTCTAGAGGAATCCTAATATTATTCTTCTTAACTGCACCTACAAAATAAATAAGTTTAAGATGCCGCTTTTCTATATTAATAGTATTACCAACTAGGGCAGGAACTATAAGCTAGGCTATTGTTTCCTTCTAGGAAAAGAAGAGGGGGACTATATTTTTGCAGTACGTGAGCTTTATCTTATATGCCAGCGCCTAGGAGTTTCGCCAGGCGTTTTTATTACAGATAAAGAGCTAGCACTTAAGAATGCGCTGGCTAAGTTCTTTCCTACTGTTCCTTAACTCCTGTGCAAATAGCACGTGCAGAAGAATATCGCCAGCAAGGCTATAGCTATTTAGAAGGATAATAAGCAAGTAGCAACTAATACTATAGATCTACAGGATGCAGCACGTGCCTTTTAAGATCTAACAATAGCTAAGATTAAGGCTATATAGAAAGATCGAAAGAAATTTATTAATAAGCTTAACTTCTGCCTAGTAAAACCTATAGAGGATAAGTTTATAGCCGCTTAGAACAAGATAAAATCAGATTATACGCATAAATAACTCCTGATTAATTACCTTACTAAAGAGTGGTGGCTATATAGAAAGGAGATTGCTACGTATTATACTAGCCTTCTGCCGCACTTCGGCAACACTATAACCTTACGGCTTAAAGGTTTAAACAGCAGCATTAAATCATATCTTTAGATCTCGACAGGTGACTTATATAATGTAGTTACACTACTATCTTAATACATTCACCGCTAAGGTGTAGAGCTAAAGGACCAGCTTGGCCGACAATGTAGAGCTCCTCAGCACGAGGTAAAGCTGCCCGAATTTAGTGAGGTTATTGGAAAAGTTACTGAGCAGGGCCTCCGATTGATCGCCAAGCAGATCAAGAAGGCTAAGGATGACGATTTTAACCTGATATGCAACAGAACATTCAGAGGGACGTACGGCATGCCATGCTGTCACGAAATACACAGAAAACTGCACGCTACATCGACAGCTGAGTATAAAGTTGTGCTAGAGGATGTTCATCAACACTGGTGGTTCAATCGTCCTGTTCCAAACGAGGTG